TATAAGTCTTTTTGTGCTTCCCGGTGATTGAAGCAAAAAGTGATAAAATTATGTGTGCATCCCAGGTCAGCAGCATGGAACTGGTGCAGGAGATCCATCAGCTGCTCATGGATCGGGAGGACACCTGCCATCGCACGTGCTTCTCTCTGCACTTGGATGGCCAGACCCTGGATAATTTTGCTGAACTCAAGACTATAGAGGGGTTAAAGGTAAGTTTTGCATGACATTGTTTTTGTCTTTTTATTGAATGATGAGCTCTTTCCTAAAGTATGATTTACATAAGCTTCTTAAAGGTATTGTCCTGGGGTCAGAGGGGTCACAATGAATTGATGGTCCTGGTATATTATTATAGGGGTGAGGAAACCACATTATTATTATTATTTGACCATCGTGATGCATTTCATGGTGTAACACTGAATTAAGCAATGTGAGACAGCTTGGGATTTTCAGCCACTTGTGCTGGCTGGCCCTTGTACTTCATTCAGGAAAAGTTAATTATTTATTTACATTACCTATATGGTGAAATGAAAAGAAGAGCTGAAGATACAGTAGGGCTAAAAAAGAAGACAAAATGCCCAAAGAATGTCTAGAACATACATCAGTGCATACATGTGAGGGTGATTTGTAAAGAAAAATATAGAGAAAGATTAACATTTTGGTGTATACATAAGCCTGTGTGTATTGCATAAGAAAAAATATATATATATCGAGTCCCAACAGGGACATGTAGTTTGAACATTGATTAGCAAGTCTCTACATATGAAAGTAAAAGAAAGGAAAGTATCTTTTACCCAAAACATGTGAACAGTAGTGGTGAATGGCTCTACCCTCAAGTCCCATTCCTGCAGCTCTGTGCCAGACACGTCTTGAAGATATGAGTTTAAAGGGCAAGTAATCAGTAAGGATTTATATTAATAATGAGGGAAAAAAGTAGAAAAAAAAGTGTGTGCGTGTGTGTGTGCGTGTGCGTGTGCGTGCGTGTGCGTGCTCGTGCGCGCATTTCTGTGCTGATTTAAGAGCAAGTGCAAGCATGCATGAGTGGGAGTTTTTTGCTCTTTTGTCTCATTATGTCTTCAACATTCAAATCCCTTGAATGGGACCAGGAACCATAGAAAATATTACTTGTATTTTCAACAATAATGTGTTTCTTCTCATTCTTTATCTTACACTTTCCCTTCCTTCTTGCCCTTGCCTTTTGTGTGTGTGAGTGCCTCAGTGTGAGCATAGTTGGTTATCTGTTTATTTCACCTTCCTTTCTTTATTTAGATGAGGGGTAAAAATATGGGACACAGGAAGGTTAAGGGCAGTCAGGTGAGTTCAGATTCAAGCACATGCAGAAATGATTGAATGGCACATAGTAACATTGTTGTATGGGTAGTGGCAGTGGAAGGCTTTACTGATATACTTGTTGTGTTGTATGATGCTGTGCATGAATAATTGATCCAAACTGAATCAAACAAAGGGTAATGTCTGGACTTTCAAACTAAGATTAGCCAATAACTGAGCAAAAAAGTATTTAAAATTAGTGGAAAATAAATTAAATAATATATATATTTTTTAAAGCAAATTGTCAAAGGTCAAAATATTTGCCTGATCTCATTAAACTTTTTCACTCAGAAAGAACTTCAGAATGTGTAGACAACCATATGCTGGATTTTGAAAATTATATATATATATATATATATATATATATATATATATATATATATATATATATATATATATATATATATATATATATATATATATATATATATTCAATGAAGTTAGATGCATATAAAAAGATGGGTACACAGTTGCTTTGATGTTATAGATTTTCTTGCCAAATTGTGATACCAAAAAATATCCACTTTCCCTGCCAAAAAAAGACCCAATTCTGTTTATTATAGAAAAAGAGAAAAAATCAGTAAATTCTCTGAGAAGGTGTCCTTAACCCACTTATAACGGGTGTCCCACACACGAGACACCCAGAAAACAAATATTGCTGGGCATCCCGCCAGTGTGACGCTGTACCGGGGCTTGCGCTCCAACTCAGCAGCTGGCTGCGGCCGGCGCGTGGGCAGAGTCCGGGCCAGCCCTGCACTCCAATTTTGTAGCCGCCCGGAAACTTTTATTTTCGGCTTCAGAATACACTGGCGGTAATGGGTTAAAGGAAATTGCAGCAAAAATACTTTTTTGTATAATTCATTTGCTTGTTTTTCAGTAAGCAAAGAAATAATTCCAAGTAGACATTTGAACTAACAAATAAAAACCTTTGCAGGAAGGGTCAGTGATCAGGATTCAGGAGGAGCCTTACACCGTCCGGGAGGCTAGAATCCATGTACGCCATGTGCGAGACCTACTGAAGAGCTTGGATCCCATAGATGCACTGAATGGTGTCGACTGTGCTTCCCTCTCTTTCCTTAACACCGTGACTCATGGGGATGTTCTGGGTAAGAATTATACTTCGATTATTGTAGTAAGTGTGGGAAAAATATTCCCATTTACCCTTTGGATCTGGTTCATCAAGTATATCACGCTGCCGAAATCCCAAGCAATGGGTTATGTATGTGGCCAACATTCCAGGTGTGTGGCACATAAGCTAGGGACATGCGAACACCCATGATGGATGACATGACTCTATGCCTCCCCTTTGCAAAGTTATTTTGTGTAAACTTTTAAAACTTTATTGCCATTTTCCAATGTCCATATTTGTCTTATGATTTGCTTTATCCAGATGGTAATAGCTGACTGTCCTTGCACAAACTCCATATCATTTCTCTATGTAGTAAATAACTCAGTGCAAGAAAAAATAAAGAAGATTTGGAAGATTGGGTAATTTTTCCATATATCTTATTTTTCGTAATTTCAGTTTTACGTAATACAACCTGTGCCACCAGTCACAGCGACCAGGAATACTGTGCGCAGCATGGAAATACCGTCCTCTCTGGAACCGGTGCTCTTCCAATCACTGCTTATGCACGTTACATTCCACATTCATTTATCGATGGGAATATTGCTAAAGCCCCCTTCTATGCGCCATATGAGTCAAATCACACTCCAAGAGGTTTGTTCACTCGTGGCGAGTATTTTCTGTCATCTTGGCCTTCACTCATGACTGCAGTTCACGTCACCTTCCCCTCGGCTCAAGTTTTTCTATGACGTAACTGCAATGTCATAGAAAAGTGTTTGTGTTAGTGAGTGAGTGAGTGAGTGAGTGAGTGAGTGAGTGAGTGAGTGAGTGAGTGAGTGAGTGAGTGAGTGAGTGAGTGAGTGAGTGAGTGAGTGAGTGAGTGAGTGAGTGGTGAGTGGTGTGTGTGTGTGTGTGTGTGTTGTGTGTGTGTGTGTGTGTGTGTGTGTGTGTGTGTGTGTGTGAGATAACTGACTCCTTGGTGATTAAGCAGTTATAGAGGCATCTATATTTAAAGACAATAAATGAACATGCATTACTGTAAGCATGGCATATTCCTGCCATCTGGGATGAGTGGGTTAATGGCATTATGGTGACTGTAATGTCAAAATTAACCCACCCGCGCCGGGGTACATTTTGTAGCCAAAATTAAAAAAATCCGGGCAGCTACAAAATCGGCGGGCGGAGCTTCCCCGGAGTCTGTCCGCCCGCCCGGCCGCCCGCCGCTTCTGCCGCGGAGCACGGCTCCGAGACAGCATATCACTGGCGGGCAGCCCGACACTGTTTATTTTTTCCCTGTGTCTCATATATGTGACACCCGGGACGAATGGGTTAAAGATAGCAGTATCAAGATTGATGGCTTTAGAAAAAGATGATTTTCCCAAAAAAATCAAAGAACTGGGAAATCAGATGAGGTCTTTTAGGCCTCTTTCATGACTCCTTGGTAACTGAGTCCTTGGGAAGCCATCTGTGTAAATAAAATTCATATACCCAGTTCATGTACCCTGTGGCAATGGGCTAAGAAATTGAAATATCTTTTCTAGCTTATCTCCATTTTCATACTATTGATTATAAACCTTTTATTATTATTTTTAAAAACTTAAGAGTGTGAAACCTGATGCCAATATTTAACCCATTCATGCCGGTATATTTTGAAGCCAAAAATAAGAGATTCTGGGTGGCTACAAAATCGGCAGGCGGAGCTTCCCCGGAGTCTTTTCGGCTGCCGGACGCAGCCCGCTGCTGCGTCAGAGCGCGAGCCCCGATACAGCGTCACACTCGCGGGACGCCTGGCAATGTTTATTTTATCGGATGTCTCATATATGGGACACCCATCGTTATTGGGTTTAAAGGAATCTGGGTGGAATTCATGTGAGAATAATAGGTATATTTATTTCCTCATTTGGCAAACATCTTGCTGCTTGTTTAATTATTTTGGTGGTACTCTTAAACAACTAAAGAAATTTGTAATTTCCTTTTTTATAGAGAAGAAAAAAAAGTCATCTGAATCAGTAGACTGTACCCCGCCAAAGTACATCCTTCCAAACTGTAAGGATCGCCAATTAATCCCTCTGCAACCGACAATGAAGGAGCAGAAATCACCACAGTGCCTGAAGGTAAACAATATCTTTAAAGAGTTTGAGCTACAAATGTGTCATGTTTCTCGCTCTTGCAGGTTGATTTGGTTTAAATTTCCTGAAATATTTTGCTGTGCTGATATTTACTTGCACTCACTCACATGGTCTTTTGTAATATGCATATGATGAATACTATATTTATGAAAGTATTTTTGTAATTGTACATTTGTATGCAGAAAAGGAATCCTAATGACCTCCTTTGCCCCAGGTTCTCACCATGAGTGGCTGGAATCCTCCCCCTGGTCCCCGCAAGTTGCATGGGGACCTCATGTACCTGTATGTTGTCACCCTAGAGGGCAAGCATTTCCACATTACAGCATCCACCTGGGGTTTCTATCTTAATCAGTGAGTATGGAAGGTATTTTGCTCTCTCATAAAGGTGCAGGAATAATAGATTTTATTTAGACTAATTTGATTTCTCAATTTCTTATTTCTGTATTTTTTCATCTTTCCTTTTTTTTCTCAAGATGCCATCCAATACTTTTCCATCATTGGTAATAGTTCCATCCATTATCATCATTTGTCATCCAACCATTATCATGAGTCTTCATCCATCATTTGTCATCATCCATCATCCCCCATTATCAGCTGCCAGTCATCATCTGTCCATCATCATCCTTCACCCATTACCATCCATCATTATCAGATTTACTATTTCTGCATCATCTCATAGATATATATATATATATATATATATATATATATATATATATATATATATATATATATATATATATATATATATATATATATATATATATATATATAAATGCATGATCTCATCAGGGTATTATAGGCAATTTTTATCCAAGTAGAAAATTAAAGTAGCTTTACTAGTAATCAAAAGGATTCATGGGTTCCAAAAAAACAGAATTAACTTTATTGAAAGACTTGTGTTTATATGTTTCTGTAATATTTCAGAACATTTTGGGCTTCCTGGCATTTTTTTTTTTTTTTTTTTTTTTTTTTTTTTTTTTCCATCTTCAGGAAGAAAAGATATCTTGTGATAATTGTCTAATTCATCTTGAAACTAATATTTGAGTATGAGTCCTATGGTTCAGTATTCTCTCATTTCTTTCCTTGCTGGCATTATATCATGTAATGATTCTACATTTCCCAATCAATTGATTCAGTTTTACATACTAAAGCATCCATGAATGTTTCAGGACAAGTGAAGAGGAATTCAACCCCAGACCAGCTAATCCTTCCTACTTGTGCCACTCTCTTATTGATTTGCTGAATATGCTGTCTGCTGCATTTAAACGAAATTTTGCCAACCTGCAGAAGAAACGCACATCTCGTCATCCATTTGAACGTGTGGCCACACCATATCAGGTGTATGCTTGGGCCTCACCTATGCTAGAACATGGGATCGATGCTTTGCGTGCAGAAGATGCTTTTAGCAGCAAGTTAGGATATGAAGAGCATATTCCTGGACAGACACGGGACTGGAATGAAGAACTCCAGACGACCAGGGAGCTTGCAAGAAGAACCCTTCCTGAAAGACTTCTGAGGGAACGAGCCATTTTCAAAGTTCATAGTGACTTTGTTGCTGCAGCCACGAGAGGGGCCATGGCAGTCATTGATGGTAATGTTATGGCTATTAATCCAGGTGAAGATCCCAAAATGCAGATGTTTATTTGGAATAACATTTTTTTCAGCCTGGGCTTTGATGTAAGAGATCACTACAAGGAGGTAGGTGGTGATGCAGCAGCTCATGTTGCCCCACGCAATGACTTGCAAGGAGTTCGTGTTTATAGTGCAACTGACTTAGAAGGCCTGTACACTCTGGGCACAGTCGTTGTTGACTACCGGGGCTATCGTGTAACAGCACAATCAATAATCCCAGGTATCCTTGAGAGGGAGCAGGAACAATCTGTTGTTTATGGCTCAATTGATTTTGGCAAGACTGTTGTTACTCATCCTAAGTACATGGATCTGTTACAGAAGGCTGGACAACAACTCAAGATATTACCTCATAAGGTATTGAATGAAAAGAATGAAGAGATTGAACTGTGCTCATCAGTGGAATGTAAAGGCATAATTGGGAATGATGGCCGTCACTATATCTTGGACCTCCTTAGAACCTTTCCTCCTGATGTAAACTTCCTAGAACTGGAAGACGCTCATCTTGGTCCTGCCTCCCGTGAACTGGGCTTCCCAGTCATTCACAAACACAAACTAGCAACATTGAGGCAGGAACTTGTGGATGCATTTGTAGATAATCGTTATATGATGTTCCTGAAGTATGCTGCACTCCATCTTCAGCAGCTGAGTGGTAAAAAACAGGAAGCCACTAAACTTGCTGCTTTGAAAGAAAAGGAAGAGAAGGAAAAGGATAAAGACAAGGACAATAAAGAGATTGAAGCTGAAGAAGCAAAGAAAATTGTTGAAAATGTGACTGAAAGCATTGCTGCTGAGAAGCAGGTAGAAGAGAACACTAAAGACATCATCAAAAAAGCAGCTGCAGCTGTAGGTTCCCTGAAGGAGGCTGACTTTGACATAAGGTTTAACCCTGATGTTTACTCTCCTGGTGTACAACATTCAGAACCAGAGGGAGAGCAGTTAAAGAAGGAGAGGAAGTTAGTGTGTGATGCTGCTGAATTTCTGGTAAGTGTACAGTTGCCCAGCCTTGTTCATGATCTGACTGATCATGCAGCTGCTCCCACAGATGGGACAACATTATGTGAAGCACTTCATACTAGGGGTATTAATATTCGCTACCTTGGGAAGGTAGCGAATCTGTTAGCCAAGGTTCCTGAATTGGATTATATCCATACCATAGCTGTTGAAGAATTAATTGCAAGAGCAGTGAAGCACATTTTTACAAGTTACCTTCAGTCTGTAGAAACAATATCCTTGTCATCTGCTGTCGCACACTTCCTCAATTGCTATTTGTCATCATGTACTAGTCCACATGCTTCCAGCAAAAACGATGAGCTTCTGACCAAGAGGAAGCGGAAGAAACACCCA